GTCTGTTTACCCCCAGAGGGCATGTGTAGCCATCTTCAGAAGATGCCACACCCCCTTCCCAGGGCATCCTCCCTGCCTCCACTTCCGGGGTCTCCCCTGACTGCCCAGCCTGTGGGCGGGCCACGCTGTCACTGCGCTGCTTGTGAACACAGAACCATGTCACTCGGGGTTCTCAGTGATTGGTGGTTGGGAAGTGAGTGGCCAGAGCTTTCTTCCGAGGTGCCTGTGGGCTGACTTGACCCTGTGGCCTTTCAGCGAGCGGCCAGGGGACACAGACCAGCTCCTCAGAGGGAGGCACCTGCACCTCCTCCCACCCACTGCTCATGCAGCTCCATCTATGTCCACCCTCCTGTCATAAGGTCCCTCGCTGCGGGCGCAGGCTCCAAGGGCCCAGATGACACCCTCACCCTGGGCGGTGACCCTGGGGCTGCATGAACGGAGGAGGACAGTCAAGATCGGCTAAGACAAGGGCGTTTGAGGACCACCACGCAGACAGCCCAGGGCCCTGCGTTCACATATTCATAAAAGATGGCTTACAAGCCCTGGCTTCTTTCACAACAGAGCCATTTAGCATCTAACTGAAGCACATCCATTCACAGGGTATGGAAGGGGGTGGGGGTGGGGACCAAGCTACCGTAACAGCACCTGGCAGCCGTCTGCCTTGGGCCTCTGGGAATTTTCTAGAACAGTGCTTCTCAAACTCCATTGTGCACAAAGATTCTCCGGGGAGCTTGTCAATGCGAGGGCTGGGGCCTGAGTATAGTGCATGTCCCTGGCTTCCAGTGGGACTCGGTGGTGGGGGTGGGGGGGTGGGGGGGGAGGGCAGAGGCGGCTGGCCGGGGACCCCCTGGGAGCAGCTCGGTGCCGACCCTGGATGTACGGCACGTGCCTCCATGCTCCACACAGCACCCACAGTCGCCGCATGGAATGGAGGCGCGTGCTGTGTGTGTGTGCTCGCTTCCCCAGGGCACCGAGAGCCGTGTTCACACTGGACTGGAGTGAGGAACTCGTTTGAACTGCTGTGAGCGTGACCCCCGGGGCCGGAGGAGACGCTCAGTGAGCCCACACCACCCGGGAAAGGGCACCCCTGGCCACAGCCGCTGCTCTGTCCCTGCGGAGCGAGGGCAGTCAGAGGAAGCCTCCTGTCAGGGCAACGACGAACAGGGCCGTGCCCCAGGGAGCAGGCGCTGGCTTGGGCCGTGTGGACCCGGAGCAGCAGGAATGACCGTCAGGACTTGGCCCGAGCATGGGCTCATCCTCGTCAGGGGCTGGCTTCGCTGGCCAGCTGAGCCAGAAGCCACAAGGTGGGCGGGGGAGGGCTGCCGAGCCCAGAGGAGTCTTCGACTTGCAGCCGCTGTACATGGCACCAGGTAGATGCCATCTCTGTCCTTTCATCAGCCAAGAACCTGGGGCCCAGAGAGGCTGAGTTACTTTGCCCGGGCTGCACAGCCTGGCCCCAAAGGTTGTGCTTTCATCCACTCAGCCACGCTGTCACCCCCGGGGAACTTTCTAGAATGGTCCGGACCTCTCCACTGGATTTCTCCCACCTCCGCCCCAGGGTCGGCCAAGCACAAGGACACAGGTGACTGCCCTGGCCACTCCTACAAAGGGCAGGTGTGACATCCACCCAGGGACCAGACGCTTGGCCCCTCCCTGGTGGCAGAAGCCGAAAGCACCCCGGAAGGCCCGCTCGCTCCTGGCCCCCTGCTGATGGGTGGCCCACCCTGAAGGTCTGCCCTGCCGAGCTAGGGGTTGTCTGGGCCTGGATTTAGAGGAGACTATAAAGGGGAAGGGGAGGTAGACGGGGCTTTCTACTTCCATAAACAGTGACCGTCTCAGAAACCCACAGGGGCGGTTCTACCCTGTCCTGCAGGGTCGCTGGGAGCCGGCCTCACTCCACGGCAGGGAGGCTGAGCGTGTGGAACGGAGGGTGGAGCACAGCTTTGCTGCTGAGCAGAGGTTGAACGTTCAGGCCCCTCTCCCCCAGCCCCCCGGCCAACAAGAACATCAGAAGAAAGGTCTGGAGATCTACCTCGGACACTGTCTGCTCTGACACCCAGTGTCAACACCAGCAGACCCCTTGCCTGGGAGCAAAGGTTTGACGCTGCCCCACTTCTTCCCACTGTCCCTCCTGGGTGGACAAGCAGCCTTGCTGCCCCAGCCTCCCCCCCAACCCCCACCCCACAGTCGAGCGCTCTCTCTCTACTGCCAGATCTGACGGAGGCCTGGGCACAGGCACACCAGGCTTCGGGCCTCCGCAAAGCCGGCGAAGCTCCTGCCTGCCTCTCTCTCACCTAGGAGGCACGGAGGCTTGCACCTGGGTCTCCGGTCAATCCTCCAGGAATCAGGGGCCACAGGGCCCCCTCCACAGCCTAGGGTCCCACCACCAAGAAGCAGCAAAGTGGGGCTTGGAGACCACCAGGCTGGATTCAACCTTCTCTCCCCGGCCAGCAGCAGAGGTGGCCCACGGCTGGGAGAGGATGCGGCAGACAGCGTGTGCCTGCTGGGGGGCTTCAAGTCCTCAGGGAACAAAGAGCACCTTGAGGCGGAGCCTCAGCCCGCGGGAGCCTCTGCTTGGCGATGGAATGCAGTCGCCTCCCCAGAGAGGAGCTGGCGGGCGCAGAAGACACAAAGCTTGTCAAATCCACTGGAGTTGATCCAAGGGGCTGGGACGCGGCCAGCCAGCCAGTGCAGGGAGGTGGGAGAGTGGAGCAGTGCCCCCGGCCCTCCTGCATGTGTCCAGGTCAACATGGGGCCCACGGTTCGCCCCCAAGGCAGGGGGGCACCCCCACTGTTGCAGGTGGGAGACGGGGCCCAGCATGGCTGCGTGGATTCCCCGAGGTCTCGGTGCTCACGGACTCCTTTCCTGACTCACGAACAGGACTTGCTACGGAGCTAGCTGAGCCGGGCGCGGGCAGGGCGCAGGCCGAGGACATGGGCACAGTCAGATGTGTTTAGTGAGCTGCCACCCTGCCTCTCTGGCTCTGCGCCACCCTCCATGGGGAGGCAGGTGTGGGGAGGCCGAGGCCCCAGCGGGAGTGGACGCCTCCAGGCCAGCAGTGCCTGATTCTGCCTGCGACTTAGAGCAAGTGCCCCGGAGTGCACCCAGGGGTGGCTCTGGGAGTGGGCGGAGGGGCTGGGCGTACACAGGCCAGCTCAGAGATCGCCAAGCCCCTCAGGGGTCCCTGAGCATTGACATGTGAAGGAGGGCCAGGCCCCATCCAGTCTCACCCCTCCTGGTTCACTGACTTGCTCACCTATTGCCATCGAGTGGATGTCAGCTCAGAGCAACCCTACAGGGCAGGGTAGAACTGCCCCTGTGGGTTTCCGAGACGAAGTCTTTAAAGAAGTAGGAAGCCCACAGAGCTGACAAAGTGATGGCTGGTCCCTGGACAGGTGGGAAGCCAGGCAGCTATGGGGGAGAGTGACTTGTCCAAGGTCACTCAGACGGGAGAAGTCTCCCCTGGGCCACCTTCCCTGTTGCTGGCTATACTGGTGCAAACAAGGGGTACTCTGGCTCGCAGCCTGGAGGGAAGGGCCCCTGGGGGAGCTGTCCCTCCGGCCCACTGCCCAGGCAGAGCAGTTGTGTGCCAGCGCTCTGAACGGATAGCTCGGCAGGGTGCCCCCTGGAGCCCACTCACTGTCCCTGGGGCAGTGAGGTGGGGGCTACGCTCCATCCACACTCAGACCCCAAGCCTCTCCAGAGCCAATTCCTGACAGCTAGGTCCCATGGGGATGGAGGCGAGCTGCCTCACTGAGTTTGGACTCCCAGCCGATGGGGCACCCAGCTGATGGTGAGGCCGGCCGGACCCAGGGTGCAAGGACACCCTGCTTGTCTGCTTTGTGGCTAGAGCCCCCACCCACCCTCCCCAGTTCAGAGGGAGACTCTCCACAAACAGCTGCAAGTGAGAGACTGAAGGATCACCCACAGCTGCCGGAGTTCCCCGGGCCCCCTCTCATCACAGCTCTCCCGACACTGGTGCTGTTTAGAAAATGTGTGGGGAAGGTGGAGGGTCAAGCCCCCCGCCCCCAGCGAGGGGGACCCACAGGTCTAAGGGCTGGAGGGAGGTGGGCTGAGGGTCAGAAGTTCTTGCTGGCCCTAGAAGCCCCCTGAGAGTCTGGCTGGGCAAAGGTACAGGTGAGTGGGGGCATCCTGGCTTCTCCCACCCCGGCTCCTGGGGAAGGTGCTTGGGGGCCTGGCGGGCTGAGGGTCCCTGGGAGGGGTGGGCAAGAAGCTCCGCTCAGCTTGGCTCAGATTCACGGGGCTGCCAGCACAGGAGAGATCAGGACCCCTGCCCACGTGGCCGCTGGCCGTGGGACTGCTGACCCCTGAGTGGTGAGAGGGCTGAGCTGGAAGGGGGCCTGACATCTTTCCTGCACGTTGGGGGGGCCTCTCTTGGTCCTGGCCAGAAGGCCCCAATGTGTCCAATCTGTTAGACGGAATTTTACACAAAGGCAGGAATGAGGAGGTGGGGGTGGGGGACTGGGACTGAGGCTGGCATAGTTGAGTCCCCGTGGGTCCTTGAACAAGTGACTAAACTTCTCTGAGCCTCTGTTTTCTCATCTGCGAAGTGGGGCCAGAGTCCCTTCCTCATGGGTGCCGGACAGCCCTGGGCCACGGCGTGAAAGCTAGAATTCTCGAGAAAAGAGCTGAGCTCCGGGCAGCGAGGAGGAGGGACCAGATGCCCACTGGGGGGCTGGAAACTTTCCCTCCGCAGGGCGGCCCCTCCCCCACGCCTCCCTCTCTGCAGGGCGCACAGACCCCCAGCCCTCCCTCAGGCCCCTGCTGCCCATCTCACTGGCCGCCCCCGGCCACTTTGGGGCTGCAGGGTGGCCCGTGACGGGAGGGTGACGCGTGGGGCAGGCTTCCCCCGCGCAGGGGGCAGGGAGTCGGCTTCCCGCCGCGGCCTCGGCTCCCACCCGCTCCAGCGCTCACCTTGAGCCGTGGGAACAGTGCTGCCGTGGGCGAGGACTTGGGCGCACGGGATGGGGCGCTTGGAGAGTCCAGGCAGGACGCAGCCAGAAGCCGCCGGGCCACGCTGCGGCCACCCGCGAGCCCCC